TATCCAGCCCATTTTAACCTAAAGACATCACCATGAATTTTTCAGGTTCATATCCGGGCACACAACTGAAGAAGAAATATTTGATTATAGCTTTATTGATTAGCCTATAGGCCACATCAAAGCACAAGGTTCAAACACATAGCGCCAATAAAATCCTATACAAACCATTTAAAATAAGAGTAAGATAAAATACAACAGTTATAGGATAAGATACAATATAATTTAATACATAATTACCGTGTTCCCTGAACATAAGATAGGGTCTTATTTTCTTTTGACCCCCGAAATAATCACTTGACCTTATTTTCAGGGAGGTCTTATTATTTTTGAGGTGCAGGAGGTGGCAAATGTGGTCACATCATGGCTGCTGCTGCGTTGCAATATTTTCGGGGAAGGGCCTATATTAGCAAATGCGCTCAAAAGCCCAAGTGGGCTCATTATCCGAGGAGGTCTTATTTTCAGGGAAACGGGGGATGTAAAATAGAATAAAACGCCATAAAATTATATTTCAGTGTCACCCTTGCAATCTACCCCAATCAGTCCGACGTATGCAGATCTCAACCGAACCATTTAGTACTTAAGTACTGTGCTGTGTTAAATGTTATTTTCAGGTTCTGGCCACACATAAAATAAGTTGGTTTTGAAGAAGGTATAATATTGTTGTCAAAATCACTATAAATTCAAAGCATTTTTTTCCTCTTTACAAACGCTAAGGTTCGGGCAGAACGCTGTGAGGCATATAGTTGAATTCCTTGTTCTCTGAAGAAAGTAACATCCAGCTACCTTTCTGTCGCCTGACAATTCCATTGTCTCACTCATTCTACTGCAACCTACCCACCCCTCCATCTTACTGCTAGTTAAACAAGGCGCAAGAAGCATCAGTCAGACAGCAACTGGAAGGAAATGACCCCTCACCTGTATCCATTTCATCAACACTATTAAGGAAGTCATCCGGAGTTCTAGGAACACTATAACTGCTCATGCTGAGGCCACTGTCGGTGCTCTCATCTCTGGAGTGGTATGTCCCACTGCAAGGGAAATGTTAGGTCAATTTAAGTTACTGATGGAAAAAACAGCCAGCATTTATCATCCAAAGCATTCATTTTCGCAGTTAGGGTTGAATGATGTTCTCCTCGTAAAAACACATATTAAAACAAGTCCGCGAAGGGGAATTCTTTAAAGGTTCAAGTCTGCAGGTTTCAATTCCCACAATGCAGCATACGGTGTGGCATCCATTCCCAGCACAATAAATTTCTTCCACAACCTTGACTAATCTTCGCTGCCACCACCTAACTTCTCGAATGCTACGATGCTGCAATCTTTCAAAATGGTAAGTCTGTGCATCTCAATAAAAAATAAAAAAATAAAAAAATTCACAGAAGTCAGTAATGGCAGAGCTCCGTTAGGGCAACATTNCTGAGATATCGGAACACTGCTATCATGTCTCCCCTAGTCCTTCTTTTCATTAAACTAGACAGGTTAATATTATAAACTCTTGCAATAAAGGCAACAAATTAATGGGAATGTTGACAGACCTATAAGGCACTTATTGGTGCCAATGCATTTAAAAGGGAGGGGGAAAAAAGGCATCATAGCTTATATTCAACATGGCCATTTTGTTCATTTAAAATACTCTTTGGAATATCACAATTCCTACAGACAACTTTAAGGATAAACCATTCCTGCTAAAAGTAAAGTTTATAGATATATACTCACTCTTTGACTTCAGTGCTAATCACTACAACTAAAATACATGGCCAACTACATGCTCATGTTGCCATCTATCACATATCTTTACAGTCTTCTAAGTGTGCAATGGACCTATTTTTCAGTATGCTTTTGATATAGTTTAACTTTAGTGTTCCCGTTGCTAATATTGTAAACTCACCTGACAGTGCAGACAGTATCATGAAACTATGTATACAGGAAAGCTTCATTTTCTTTTCACTGGGGACACTTGATTCTCAAGCCAACAATTTCATCAACATTAAAAAGCTCCCCAATGACAAATACTGTCCTTTGATTAAGAACTCAATGTAAGGTTTACCGTGTTCAAAGCTGAGGGTAAAAGCACGACGGTTGGCCATTCTTAAATGGCAAGGTTAAAAGCTTTAAAAACTCCTCCAGAATGTGTGAGGCTAATGTTCAAATGAGTACATTTAGGTAAAGAATTCTGTAAGACGAGGACGTTTCTTTGAATTCTGGATACAGGGGTGAAACTTAAGCCAAAGGCTCTTTAATCTAATGAATACATTCAAAGTAATCCTTTTAAAAGCAGTAAACAAAACATAGAACTATTGATATTAACTGGCTATACTAGCTTAGTATAAAAAAAAATCCATTCAGACTTAAATAAGACTAGGTGAAGTCAGAAAATTTCACTATTTAAAAATATTAAAACAAAAACAACCAATACACAAAACAGAACGTTCTTTTTCTAATCTACGGCTATAATTAAAGAGGTCTAAAATTTGGAAAACAAGCGAAAGAGGCAACAAACCATGTTTTCGTAGGAAAGGGTTTCTTTATGATGCTGTAAAATGTGAGCAAGCTAACTAAGGGAATTAAGAAGCTGCCAGTGGGCAAAATCCAGTAGCCATCCTTGGCATGTGTCCGTTTTGCTCAATATAGATCAAGCGGCATGAAGAACTGTATCCAACACTTAAATGTCTCATGATTCGTGCCCAACAATAAAACATTTTATGTTTTATTCCCAAATTGGTATGGATTCCCCCCCTCCTTCCCCCCTTATCAGATACGTCCTTTTTGGCTTGATGGGCTAGTTAAGGGTTATTTTGTTTTTTGCCAATACACAAAAGCTGAAGCTCCACAACATCCTTAGTCAAAGAAAAGGACAAGCAAATAGAAAGCAGGGCAAAAGGAATGATAGACATTATCCAGAAATATAGCTGGTCTCTCTCTCTCTCTCTAACCCATTTCGTTGTATACATGATGTACAATGACAATAAAAGCTATACTATACCAACTTTTCCATCCTCTCCCTGCCCATTACCACCATGCTGAACAGTAGTTGCAACAGAAAAAAACAACAACAGAATTCTTCAGAGTCAATGTGAAAGAGGTCAGCGATATAACAGCAGCGATTGGACAAAACAAAAAAACATTGGATCAATAAAATCGGAAGTATTTTGTTCAGTAAAATGTTTTCCTCTCTGATCATAAGCCAAGATGCCTTTATGATACTGTTCTCAACCAAGGTACATGTCTTATCTCCTTAGATCCTTCAAAGATTTCCAATTCCATCTCCCTGAGGCCCCTATAACCAGGTCAGAAAGCTTTCTTTATCTAGCTTGGTGGCTGCCAGCACAGATTCCATGTCATTAAGGATATCGGAGCTCAAAGCTTCTTGTAGGCTTGGCATCAGTTCCTCTCCTTCTATATTCATCGGGTCGCCTTCCAGTGTTCCAAGGTCCACATTAGTCCCCGGAATGGCTTCAAGGTAGTCTGGAAAACGGTTCTGATGGGAGGGGATGGAGCTTTGGTTGATAGTGTCACCTAGATACACAAGGAATGCAAAGCAGGGCATTAAGCACATATATATTGAAGTGGCTCTAAATACTGCTCATGTGAAGCCAACCCCCAACCTATGCAGCATCATCACTGTGAAAAAATAATCACTGTGAAAATATCTACAGACCCCTCATATCCTGGACATAAATTGTTTCAACTTCTACCCTCAAAACAATGCTATAGAGCAGTGTTTCCCAACCTTGGCCACTTGAAGATGTCTGGACTTCAACTCCCAGAATTCCCCA